TGTCAGTTGTTTGTGAACTAAATCTGCTGTAAAGGGTGATCTATTTAAGGCCCACTGAAATCTTGAATGCAGACACATCAACATCAAGTGTCTCTATGTTTTAGGTAAAAAAAAAACGAAACATTAAAATATTCCCTGCACGTTCATATTCCCCGCTGCCGTAATGTAAACAGTTTTATTAAAATGCTACGCATTTAGCCCTATGTGACGTCTGTTTTTATATTGTTTATCAACAGTATAAATGTTTTTACTTAAGTACATAAAAAATCGAGTACTTTTGTACTTTGACACGAGTAAAATTGAAGGAGTACTTTTACTTTTACTGAAGTAATATTTTATTATACGTATCTGTACTTTTACTCAAGTACTTGATGTGTGTACTTTGTCCACCACTGCTAATCACAGGAAAATTACATCTTGACTTTGCTGGTTGGCTGATGGCACCTGTTTATAATCCTGAGTAAAGGAAGTTCAGGAGATCTGACATTTTATAGCGGTCCAAATAATTGGCTAAATGAGTATGTGCACAAATGAAGCTGATATTTGTTGAAAAGGCTCTTTAGTTGGAATCAGTGTTGTGTGAAGTGCTAACGAGAGCCTGATAAACTCATGGTTGTTGTTTTTGGTTCTCTCACTCGGTGCAGGACAATACAAGACAGAGAGTTGCTCTGTCCTCCGCATTCATTAAGACACAGAGATCCACTGACCTGTGCTGTGCTCTCACAGTAATACACTCTCTCATGGGGCAGGTTACCAGAGCCAGTGTGGACTGTCTTTTAAAATGTGGGCACATCCCATACAGAACTCTTGTATATTATCCCCTTATTTTCTCATAAATACTGTATTTTTCAAAGTTCTCCAAAAATGTCCCTTTTATACTGCATGTTCTCCATCTGTAACTGATTTGAACATGGTGGAATACAACGACTTGTAACTGTAGGATCATTTCCAAAACCTCTCCAAGTCCCCCATTGCTTTGACCCCTTGATACAAAGCTGCACTTTGTGTTTACAAAAACCTAAAGGAATCTTGCTGAAATCCGGAGCCCTACTTTCTGTTACTGTGTTGCTTCACTGTGGTACAATCTGAAAGTAAACAACATCGTTCTCTCTGTGTTGTGCAGAAGTCATATGGATCATTTCTCACTCCTTTGCCACAATGTGATTTTGTATGACTGTTGTCATCCGAGATTGTGTGCATGGTTAGCACAGTTTAATTTCCTCAACGAGACCTTTCTAAGTAAAACTGAATATTTATACAGAAATAATGTAAAACTGGACTTGATTTCATCCATGAGGATTTCTTTAGATCTTAGTAGGTTGTGATATTTTTGGTTAATATTTTTCCACATTTGTCAGCAGAATAAAGGCATTTCAGAGGTAGAGAAAGTTGTTACATTTTGATGACACTGTGAAATATTTAATTTTTTTCTTTAGACTATGCCCTGATGATTCAAGCATAATAAGACCTGGGACATTTATTTAAAAAGTGAACACCAGCAGTTTTAATTTCCTAATATATCTGTGAAATCATAAACATGAACTACCGTTCAAAGTTTGGGGTCAGCAATTTTTTTTGGAAAGAAATTAATACTTTGTCAGAATGGGTAAATTAAATTCATCAGAAGTGTCAGTAAAGATGTGTAATGTTTACTATTTCAAATAAATGCTGTTCATTTTAACTTTCTATTCATCCAAAAAAATCCTGAAAAATATGAATCACAGTGTTTACTAAAATATTAGGCAGCACAACTGTTTTAAACATTGATAATAATAATACTAAGATAATGTTTCTTGTGCACCAAATCAGGATATCAGGATCATGTGACACTGCAAGAAATTCAACTTTGCCGTCATATGATAAACTTACATTTTTAAAATGTTAAAATAGAAAATATACATATTATATATTTTTTAAATATATAAAATATATATATATTAGTACTTTAGTACTTTATTTAGTCATTTATATTTATTTTAATAATAATGTTTCACAATATTACTGTTTTACTATATTTTGGTTCAAATAAATGCTTTGGTAAGCATACAAGACTTGTTTCAAAAACCTGAAAAAACTTCCTAGTCCTAAACATTTGATTGGTAGTGTATATCATAAAATTGAAATGCATTTTGTCAAAGGTGTTCAAGTCAAATCTAGCTATTTCTACTACTATACTTTAAGGCATAATAAATGTAGTAGTGTTGTATTGCTGTAATGACTTGATGTTGTTGAATCTGTCATCACAGGTGGAGGTCATGATGCACAACAGCTCGCAGAAGGAAGGACTTGAGCTAAGCACCCTGCTCAAAACTCCTCACATGCAGGTCTGTTTACATCACATGCACACACATCCCCCAATTCCCCCATGTCTCCTCTATGTTGCTGTGCCGATGCCCACGGCTGTGATCGCAATCCCTGTCTCAGAGCCTGAACTCTTTTGAACTCTATAACATGACGTTGAGGTCAGACTCATGTCTACTCTGTAGAACTCAGTGGCTTTCATCCTGAATATAACCCATCATCTCTGGCTCTCCATATCCTCCAGGCGCTTATGATGGCCCATGACAGTGTGGCTGAACAGGAGATGCAGCTGGAGCCTCTTGTTCCTTCTGTCAATCAAAGTGAGACTCTCACCCAGTGGGGCGGGGAGACTGTCAAATTCGTGCGGATTGAGAAAGCAAAGGACATCCCATTGGTGAGGACGTTCTTTCATTGTTTTTCCCCAGAATATTATGCACTTCTTGACATATGACCTGTATTTTAACTTAATGTGCACATGTGTATTTATGCAGGGAGCGACTGTTAGAAACGATATGGATAGTGTGGTCATCAGCCGCATTGTGAAAGGAGGAGCGGCAGAACACAGTGGCCTTCTGCATGAAGGAGATGAGATCCTGGAGATCAACGGTGTGGAAATCCGTGGCAAAGATGTCAACGAGGTCTTCGACATCCTGGTAATTAATTTTAAAGAAGGATGAGAGGAAGAAGTCTGTTAGGTTTTTGATTATAAAACACTTAAGCGTTTGTAAGTACTGATTGAAGTATCCAAAAACATTCTTAGGCCACTGAACACTGAATGTTGTTGTTTTTTTCATGTTCACAGGCAGACATGCATGGCGTACTGACTTTTGTTCTCATTCCCAACGCGCAGACCAAACCACCTCCTATTAAAGAGACTGTGGTGAGGCCTTCAGTCAGAACTAAATGAATTACTGCTCGAGTAAAACAATGCATACATAAAAGTAATCAATGATCAAACCCATATCCTTGCATTCACCCAGATGCATGTGAAGGCACATTTTGACTACGACCCCTCAGATGACCCCTACGTTCCGTGTCGAGAGCTCGGCCTGTGCTTTCAGAAGGGAGATATCCTCCACATAATCAGTCAAGATGACCCTAACTGGTGGCAAGCCTACAGAGATGGGGATGAAGACAACCAGCCACTTGCTGGCCTGGTCCCTGGTACCGTATCTCACGTGCTATTCTGTGGATCCAGATTTGTGTTTAAATATTTCTGCCTAGTTTTATTTTACATTGACGTACATGTCTTTTTCTTACTGATTGTCCAGGCAAAACTTTCCAGCAGCAGAGAGAGGCAATGAAGCAAACCATAGAGGAGGATAAAGAGCCTGAGAAATCAGGTTAGGGTCGCAGAACTCGTGCACACTCTTAAGCGCATACATGCGCAGTAGTTCTCATTAACACTCAACTTATTTTGACAGGAAAACTTTGGTGTGCTAAAAAGAACAAGAAGAAGCGAAAGAAGATGCAATACAATGCTAATAAAAATGATGGTGAGTCTCTTCAGACAAACACTGGAATGAAAATGTACATGCTGAGGGGTCTCTCCACACCTGTGAGGACTCCGATGAAACTTTTTATCATGTGCTTCATGTACAGAATTTAAGAGTAACAGCAATGTTTTCCACAGCATATCCTAAATTCTAAAGTACTTCAGTTTTGACGAACAGTATAGCATATAGCCTTTCAAATGATGTGCTATTTGATATTGTGAACACAGGCGCTTGTCTTGATATATGTGCCCTGGAATGTTTCATCCTCATTCACTATCTGCGTGATTTCTCTCCAGAAGTTATGACAGATAAAAATGTCTGTGTACTTGAACTAAAACTTTGTACTGAAACTAAGCCTTGTGTGTCTCTTTCCACCATATGAGCACTTGTCAGCATGGGCATCTATTGTTGTTGCGGTCTCCAGTATTTGTTCCATTTCTTTTGTGACTTTAAAGCAGTGGCCCGTGTTGAAAAAACTGCAGTTACTCCAAACAATTTCAAGGCATGTGCGAGCTGAACGTACAGAGAGTATGCACAGTTAGAAAAATCAGACTGTGTATAAAATACACACGTGTTTTACTGATGTTGAAATTTACATCACGTAGACTTGACCGCATACCTTAGTATACGCATAAAAGCCAAAGTATACTTTGGGCTTAAAGTGTTTTCTCTTGCTCTGCAGACTTTGATAACGAGGAGATTCTCACATATGAAGAAATGGCACTATATCACCAGCCAGCCAATCGCAAGCGGCCCATTGCTCTCATCGGCCCACCAAACTGTGGTCAAAATGAGCTCCGACAAAGATTCCTCTCCAGTGAGCCGGACAGGTTTGCTGGCGCTGTTCCTCGTAAGTATCAGAAAACAAACTGTTTATCAGCCTGTGCTACTCAGTAATGTCCTAAGCAACAAACTCTCTTTGCCACAGACACCACGCGAAGCCGTCGCGATATCGAGGTGAATGGCCGCGATTATCACTTTGTGTCCCGTCAGGCCTTTGAGATGGACTCTGCGGCAGGGAAGTTCATAGAGTCTGGAGAGTTTGAAAAGAACCTCTACGGCACCAGCACAGACTCAGTCCGACAAGTCATCAACACGGGCAAAATCTGCCTTCTCTGTGTACACACTCAGGTGAGATGGACCACTTTACTGCAGAGTTTAGCTGCAACACACCTGCCTGGAAGCTTCTAGTGATCTTTAAGACCTTGATTATCTGGTTCAGGTGTGTTTAATTAGGTTTGGAGCTAAACTCTGCTGGAAGCTGGCCCTCCAGGAGCAGAATTGGACACCTCTGCCTTAGCATTTTAGCGGCAAATTTTGAAAATCAAGTACCACATGCTTGTTGGATTGTTATTATTCACTATTTCTTCTACCTTTTTAGTCTTTGAAGGTATTGCGCAGCTCAGACCTCAAGCCCTACATTATCTTCATTGCTCCTCCATCCCAGGAGCGATTGAGAGCCCTCTTAGCAAAAGACAACAAAAACCCAAAGGTAAACATCGGCCCTGAAAGATCAACTCTCAGGAGCCATTCACAAAGAATGTTTTCGCATTCCACTGTGCTGATTTCCATTGTTTTTCTATGTAAGCATTAGAGCTGCGACGATAAATCGATGCAGAATTGATTCGTGGATCGATTCTGAGATCTTCCGAATGCATCACGATTCTCTCTGGAATCGATTCTGAGCTTAGATTTTAACAGCAGATGGCACTCTAATCTAGTTTTTATCCGCACACTCAAATGCTCATGAAGAAGAGTGCCTGTGCGTACGGCTGAGTCCTGAGACCTCAGCTCAGAATGCTTTTATGACATGAGATTAATGTGAACACAGCCCATTGTGAACACCCTTGTAATTCACTTCAACCATTTCGAATTTTAGGAATAATTATTTTAGGTTCAAGTGTGTGTAAGGATTTGGAAACAAGCAGAGTACGGCTGTTTCTAAAGCATGCAGTGCCATCTTCTGTTCAAAACTAAGCTCAGAATCGACTCGAGAAAGAATCGCGATCCATTCGGAAAATCTCAGAATCGATGCTGAATCATTTCTCGATTCGCGATGCATTGATTTATTTTCCCAGCCCTAGTAAACATGCACTAGACAAACGTCTTACACCTGTGTGCCTGAGTCTCAAGCCTGTGCATGAAATGGCACTGAAAATATTTTAATTAATTTGTTTCCAGTCAAAAAAGGCCAGCCTTTTTACATTTTTGGATTCAATCTGTTTGTAAAGTTCTTTCTGTTGTGGTCGAAGGCCTCGTTGATCTGAGCTTATGCACCTCAGTTTTTGAGTAAAAAAAGCATTATTTGGGGCAATGTTCACTCAAAAACTGAGATGCATATGCTCATATTAATGAGTCCTACGAATAATCAGTAAGTTTTAGTCCACTGCAATAAGATTTAACTAGCATTTTAGGAAAAAGAAAATCATCTCTGGGTCAAAATGACCAGAACACAACATGAGGATTAAAGAACGCATCTCGAGGCCTTGCATTTTTTTCCCCCCATTCCCCTGCCTTCTATCTCTGTGTGAACCGGCCCTTTGGACTACTACTCCCATTCTCATGGTTTCTCTTTTGTTTGTTTTTTTCTGTTTTTTCAGCCCGAGGAGCTGAGAGACATCATCGAGAAGGCCCGTGAGATGGAGCAGAACTACGGCCACTTGTTTGACGCTGCCATCGTGAACACCGACCTGGACAAGGCCTACCAGGAGCTGCTGCGTCTCATCAATAAACTAGACACTGAACCTCAGTGGGTCCCCTCATCCTGGCTGCGTTGAGATGAAGCCCACTCACAGCGACCCCTCCACAGACGGGTGTAAATGAAAAGCAGACTGTTTGTGAATCGCACACTCTCGGGTTCCATAGAGTTGACTGAAAGCCACCGTTTTTCCACTACAGGATTCAACACTAGATAAGGACACTACTACGCCCCCTCAGACCTCGCCAGAAGTGTCTGCACTGCGCTGTCAGCAGGCTGAGGGAATAAGAGTTTTTATGTCAGAATTCGTTCGATCATGATGTGTTTTTGAGTCCGGTTACCCACATTCCATTGAGAGTTACCAGCACTTGGTGCGGCAGTAGAATTAGGGCTTCTATACTGCTTTTGATAACTATTTATGATTGTAAATATTCTATATGTATTTTAAAAGACGTTTTTGGACAAATGTGGAGGGTTTACGTTGTGGGAAAGCAACTTTACTAAAAGTCACTTTTAAAAGTTCAATGAGATATTCAGACTCCAGAATAGTTTGGGCTCCCTGACATTATTAGTGGACAAAGACATTCATTCACTCTGTTCTCTCCTCTTTCACCCTGAAACTCTGATGTACAATGTTACAGTGAGTTCAGTGCCCATCTGAACAACTCTTTCAAGCTTACAAGACACTAAAAGGGATAAATGTCAACGCGACTGATGCCTTCTATCCCTGTGGCGCCTTCTATCCCTGTGGCGCCTCCTCAGTGTTCCTATGGCAAGCAACACTGTGATTATGACAGAGGTACACTTCAGGTTTTTTGAGAGTTTGCGAGGCCACATCTGAACACAGCTGCAAGATGGAAGTGGCTAAATGTAAGTCTATGCTCTCTCAGTATTCACATGCACTTCCAGCACTCAGAAGTGTAACCAGTATTGTAAACAGAATTTGACAGCAATACAGTGAGGTTCACCATCTGGGCGTCAGCACGGCCTAGTCTTAGTCAATGCTTCTGCACAATTTGAAATGTTTCGTTTGTGATTTGTTTTTGAGTGGATTTGAAGGTTCTGTGTTGTTTTAACTTGTGGTAATGCTCTACATTATTAGGATCTCATGAAACCTGCCAAGAACATGTCCTGGTCTTATTTCGCCCTAAATCAGAAAGAAAAAATCCCTTTTTCTTTTGTTTTCTTTCTTTTTTTTGTGTTCTTAAAATTACAGTATGCAATATGAAAAAAATTAGCAACATAAAATATTTGACCTTAATTTGCACTTATAAAATCATGCAATGTATAGGTTGTATTATTATAATAAAGTCAAAATGCTGTTCAGACATTAGAATCTAATCTGAATCACTTTTGAGAATAAAAACAAAAATACAATAAAAAGACAAGAAGAAATGCTTAATTTTTGTGAAAAAATGTGGTCCAAACACAGGCTTCATTTTCTTTGCACACAATATATATGTTTTTCTGTTTGGTTTTGGGCAGTAATCTTACCTGGACATGTTTCATGAATTTTTCCCATTGGTTTGAAACATCAGCTCCATGTTGAGGTGAGATGTGTGTTCTGAGTGTATGCTTATGAACGCATGATTTTTGGGGAATGTTTAGCCCATGAGTGCAAATGCTGGAAGAGAGGAACACTTGATCTTGATGGACAAGATCAAGATAAAGAAAAGCTGTGTGCGTGTGTGAGAGAATGTGTGTGTGCACATGATTGGTAACAACTCTTTTAAAAGAAGGACCGTCAGTTTTTGCAGACAAGTATTATCTCCATTGCTGATTCAAGCACACACTGGAAACAGCTTTACGGAGATTTGTTCAGCAGAACTGTTTTTAGTTTATTTTTTCATTAAGATGATCAATGTGTATTTAGAATGCAACCTAAATATTTTTTTAATGTACAGAATAGCTCAGCCACTAGGAAACACACCGCTGAGGTTTTTACTCTTGTGCACTACACTTTGGTGTGTGTTGTGAGTGTGGACAGAGCCAGTAACCCGCTGTGCAACACCTCAGTCTCATGTGATCTAGTTACATGCCAGTCAACTGGAAGTAGAATTAATGAATGTAAAAGAAGAATCACCTTTCCTTCTCGACTGTTTTTGTATGAATTATACTTTAAGTGAATTAAAGCCCAGATTAATAGTGTTTATCTTTTTTTCTTTATAGATGAGATGGCAATTTTATTAGCTCATTATGATTCTGCATGATGCTTTTTATTATATATATATATATATATATATATTTTCTTTGTCCTACATGGACCCGTTGTTATAAAAGCTGCAGTGTTATTAGTTTTTTTTACATTTCTGAGCCAAATCTCAGAATTATCCTATGGTGTTACTGTCTCAAGCATGGTTCATTAAATTACAACTTTTATCAATTAAAAAGAAAAACATAAAAATGTTAATAAATACCTCCGGCATAATTGTACATGTGCCTATTTTAGTAAATGGCAATCATTTTTTTCATCCATATATTTCTGAAAGCGTAGGAACTTGATACATTTTGTCTCTGAAAAGCATGTCCTATGGTGTGACACCATATCCTGATTTTAAATCAGCCAATTCCAGAAAAAAATTAAATTAGTTGAAGGACCTCATTCATGATTATGTTACTGAAGCCCCCTGTGAAGCCCATGACGTGCACATGGTCAATTTTTGTCTCAGAATTGTTCAAATATTTACCTTGTTTGGAACCACTATAAAAGTGTTACGTTTTGTTGTCCTTTGGTGTGACACCCTTAAATTATATACTTGAATTAAAAACTGCATGTTAAACTACATAATCATGGAAAATTATGCAAATGTGTCTTGCTAACTGCTAATGACAGGTTAGCTCGGAATAGCAAGGACATCAACTGACACAAAAGACTGAAACATCCTTTGGTGTGACAGATAATGTCCACTGGTGTGACGCCAGTACTGTCACACAACAGGACAAAGATGTCACACAAGAGGACAAGGTTTCTTTAAGAAGCATTTTAAATAATTAAATAAGATTTGTTTAACTGCTTTTTAGTATTTTTTGAACATTTTCAGTGTTCTTAAATGCAATAATTACATTAAACTATTTTCTGATGTATTTGCAGAAAACTTATACTGTTATAAAGTGTCATGAAAAGAAGTATAAAATGTGATACTTTGTTTTTGAAACAGAAAGAATTGAGGGTGAGAAATTAGTGGAAGACAGAGGACACAGAAATATAGACAGAAAAGTAACGGATCCACGCAGAAGGGAGGAGATCCTAAGAGAACAATGCAGAAAGTAAATGGAATCAAAATGATTCCTTAAAAAGAGTAGAGTTTAAAAAGTATATAGCATATAGTTAAAAAAAATGTATTCACATCTTAATGAATATAGTTTGAATATCAATCATATTTAGCTGTGCCGCACATGCAGCAGGGGGCTGGAAGAGTTTCTGTAACATACTGATTGACTAAGACTGATTTTGTTGATTAAAATAATTTTTTGTTTTGTTTAAAATACATGTTGATATTGTTTGTATCAAAATTAAACTTACTTTCTCCTTTGACATGTTCAAAATTAAATAGAAATAATTTAATATTGATTAATAAATTAATATAAACTACCATTTCTGTCCTTTAGTGTGATGTAATGTCCTATGGTGTGACATAAAAGAACCACAGATTTGTTTTTATCTCAAAATATCTTTAAAAAAAAAAGTTGATTATTGCAACAGGGGATATATAATCATCACTCATCTTAAAATTTTATAATTTTCAGCCGTTTTGAACAGATGACAGCAAAGTTTGTCTTCTTGTCAAAGTTTGTCCTGAAATTGTCCAACAAGTCATGGGGAAAAAATTATGTTAATTATAATTTCATATTAAATAAATAACACTATATGAAAATAAGCATCTAACAATGAAGATAAATCTAATGCTATTTATATATTATTAAGAGGTTTTTTTTCTTAATTTTTGCTGTCATACCATAGGACAAATTTATGGTACAGTTCAGTGAAAATGTTAAAAAAAAAAAAAAAAAATGATAAAATTGATCAAGTTAGTGCCCCTTTATATTTTCTCAAAGATCAGACTTCACACTACATAAATATATGCATTTCTTTTTCAAAAAAGGTCTTTTTTTTTTTTTTAAGATTTTTTTTTTTTACTGCCTATTTGTCAACTACCCATATTCGGTCATGGCCAAAAGTTTTGGCAGTGACAAATTTTGTGTTTTGCAAAGTTTGCTGCTTCAGTATCTGTAGATAATTTTTCCACGTTTCTATGGTATTCTGAAAAACAATGATAAGCATATAAGTTTTAAAGGCTTTTATTGGCAAAAATATATATAATGAGTCAATATTTAGTGTTGACCCTTGTTCTTCATAACCTCAGCAATTCGCTCTGGCATGCTGGATATTAGCTTCTGGGCCAAATCCTGGCTGACCAAAAGTTTTGGCAGTGACATAAATTTTGTGTTTTGCAAAGTTTGCTGCTTCAGTATTTGTAGATTATTTTTCCAAGTTTCTATGGTATAATGAAAAACAGTTTTAAAGGCTTTTATTGCCAAAAAAATATAATGAGTCAATATTTACAGTGTTGACCCTTGTTCTTCATAACCTCAGCAATTCGCTCTGGCATGCTGGATATTAGCTTCTGGGCCAAATCCTGGCTGATGGCGATCCATTCTTGCCTTATTAGCTCTCGGGGTTGATCACAATTTGTGTGCTTCTGCTTGTCCACTCGCCTTTTGAGGACTGACCACAGGTTCTCTATGGCATTGAGATCCGGGGAGTTTCCTGGCCATGGATCCACAATTTCACTGTAATGATCTTCGAGCCACTCTTGCTTTGTGACATGGTGCTCCATCATGCTGGAAAATGCACATGGATGGCCTCAGGATGCTTCACCGTTGGCCACGTCACAGGACTCATGGTAGCGTTCACCTTTTCTTCTCCGAACATTGGATTTTCCAGATCTCCCAAACAGTCGGAAGGGAGCTTCATCAGAGAAAATAACTTGAAAGATCATAAAAAAATAAAAGCAGAACTTCAGTCTGTCCTTGACGTTTTTGTTGGAGAGAAGTGGCTTCTTTGCTGCCCTTCTTGACACCAGGCCGTTGTCCAAAAGTCTTGGCCTCACTGTGCGTGCAGATGCTCTCACACCAACCTGCTGCCACTCCTGAGCAAGCTCTGCACTGCTGGTGACACAATTCCAGCTGACTCCTCAGGAGGAGACGGTCCTGGAGCTTGCTGGACACTCTGGGACGTCCTGAATACTTATCCGGTAAACGGTTCTTTCAGGTGCAATATTTTTGTAGCAATTTCCTTGAATGTGAGGCCATTTTGATGCAAAGCGCTGATGGCTGCATGTGTTTCTTTGGAGGTAACCATTGCTAACAAGAATATATATGTATGTATGTATATCTATTTATTATGTGTAGCTATATATAAATACACACACATGCATGTATATATTTCAGGAAAATATGTTATGTTTATATATTAAATATATTTATTTATAATATAAATTACATGAATATAAATATAGACAAAGAACAAAGAACAAAAGATGCACGAACTCAGACATTTTGTGAGTCATTGGCATGTCGCTTTTATTCGCAAGTGTGCCTCCGGATCACTAGAAGGCGGTGCAGAGCATCTTAACACAATACGAACAAAAGAATGACTTCCTCTTCCGCCTGATTTTCAACATGCTGATGAAATAGATAGCAGAGAAACCGCTGTTCAGTTTTCCTTCTTATTTTGTATCTTTGCACTTGGATTCTCATCATCAAATAAAGGACATTAAGTAAATTCCAGTACACATTTATTCTAACGTTATATATCGGTAAGTTAAGTGAAAGAGAGTTTAGTTGTAATGGCAGAAAGTGGTGTGGTTTGTGTTGAATTGTTGAACTGTATCTTTTCCTCTATTTGTTTATCAATTATAGTTTATAGTTTACCGTATGTTTGATGGACAGCTTTTGTGTCTCAATTCTTAACGCTTTACAGACGTT